TTAGAAATTATATTAAACATTATACTCAAATAAGACCTAAAGAAGTAAAATTTTAATTTAACAGTTATTCAAAATATCTTTGCACCTCTTATATTTATATCTGCTAATTTTCTTATCATTTATAAAAACATAAACAATAAACAATTAGAACCAGCTTTTTTTTGAGAAATTTTTTGATTCATAATGAAAAAAGTAAATTAGTTATTATTAAAAAATAAAATAAACATCTTTTTTCTTTAATAAAATATTTTTTATATAATAGATTGTATTTCAAAACATACGAATATATGATATTATAAAAAACATCATTATTTTAAAATAACAAAATTGTAAAGCTTTTTAAACCTCTGTTTTAAATAATTCTTTAAAGACCAAAATTTCGATTTTAAAAAAATTAATTGTAATTTATATTATTTTATTATGACTAATAATATTATAAAAAACTCTTATTACATGAGAATATATTTTTCTTACATAATTAGAGCGTATTAATATCATATGAATAATATTATAATTTTAAACTTTTTTTTCATTTTTATATGAATTAATTTTTTAAATAAAAATAAAATATTGTATTTATATATTTTTTTAACCATTCATATTAATCATGATATAATGGTTACCTTATAAGAAATTTTTTATTTTGTTCTTCTTTACTTTTAAATAGTTAGTAAAAAGCTACAAATAAATCATTTTTTATTATATACTAAACTGTTTCATATAAAACATTTTTGTATTTAAAATCAATATAATTTTATAAATAAATTTTTACAACATTATTATATAAATACAAACTATATAATATACAATTTTCAATTTTAAAATAACTTTATAATCATAATATCTTTTTATTTTTATGAAAAACTTTTAAAAATATAAATTATATTTAAACTCATTTTAAGATTTTATCTTTAAAAAACTTTAATACATGAAGGAAGATGTTCAAGTATATTAATATAAAATTTGAATAGTTTTAAAAATATAAAATTTGATTTTTCTTAAAGTTTATATATAAATTTTTAAATAAAATTAATATTTATTACGTTTACTATATTAAAAATTTATAATTATTAAGTAGTAAAAATTGATTTGTTGAACTTAAATTAAAAATATTTTAAACTTTTTTATTAAAATACTCTATAAACACACCACTTAAAACTAAATTTAACAAAACATATTATCATCATATTTTTATCTTAGTAAGAGTAAAACAAAACACATGAAAAATATTTATTATACTTATAGAATAATGCTAATGTTATTGTTTAGATTTACGCTTTTTTATAAATTTAATCTGTCAATTTAATTGACATTCTATATTTTTTTAATAAACTTTTAAAAATTTAATAAAAATTATAGAAATTTGTATCTTAAATATCAGCAAAAGTAAAAGAAGATTTAAATGATTTTGACAAAGGTTTTTTAAATTTTTATGTTTAATAAAAATCCTTTTACATGCCAATTATTTTAATAAATAAGTTTTTTGAAGTGTTAATTAAAACAAATCATTTATAAATAATAATTGTTTATGATATTTTATGACTTATAATACATTTCAAAAATAAAAAATTTAATATTTTATTAAAAAATTTATAAAATATTTATATTTACTTATATAATATTTACCAGTTTAA